AGGCTTTGGCCACTCCCCTCAGCTTGGTATCGTCTACAAACTTACTGAGGAGGCATTTGCCCCTTCATCCAAGTCACTGACAAGTTAAACAGCACTGAACCCAGTAGAGAGCCCTGTGGAACACCTGTAGTGACAGGCCTCCAACTGTCACAACCTTCTGGAATCTGACTCAGGAATGCAACTCAGCCAGTTCTCAATCCAGCCTAAGTGTCCATTCGTCCACCCTATGCTTCTGGAGTTTTCTAATGAGGACGTTGGGAGAGACAGCCTTATAAGAGACAGGGCAGAAAATATCCACTTCACTCTCCTCATCTGTCGGGGTAATTCTTTAATTGTAGTAGGCAATCAGGTTGGTCAAGCATGATTTACCTTAGGTGAATCCTTGCTGACTACTCATGATCACATTTATGTCTTTCATGTTGGTAGACATGGCCTCCAGAATAGAGCACTCCATCTTCTTTCCAGGGATCAAGGTGAAGCTGACTGGATGGTAGCTCCCTTTGTTCTCTTTCTTGTTTATTTTCAAGACTGGAGTAATATTTGTTTACTTCCAGTCCTCAGGTACCTCTCCTCATCTCTATGACCACTCAAAGATGATCATGAGAGGCCTATTTATGATGTCTGCTAGCTCTGTCAGCACTCATGGATGCATCCTGACATGGCCTGTGGACTTGTGGATGTGAAATGTATTCAGGTGCTCTCTGACGCAATCCTCCTTCAGTGAAGGAAGGTCTTCCTCCTGACATTCCTACACCCTGGTCTCCTGGCTTAGAGATCCCTGGGGGCTGATGTTATTGGTGAAGACTGATGCAAAGAAGACATTCAATAACTCTACCTTCTCTGTGTCCTCTGTTACCAGAGTGCCCTCCATTTACTAATGGGGCCACGCCATCCTTTGTTTTCCTTTTGCTATTTATGTATTTGAAAAAGCTCTTTTTACCATCCTCGATATCCTAGGTTAGATGTAATAATAGATGAACTTCGGTCTTTCTAGACTCACTACAGCAGGGAAAGAGGGGTCCCTGAACATATTTTTCACACAGTACAGTCACAAACATAAATTGTTTACATGCTCCTGTGTCTTGATACATTGCTGAGTTTGGCCTTTTAGATATCTTGGGTTAATGCTTCCCCATCATCACAGCAAACTTCCATTTTGGGTTTACTTGCAAACAGGAAAAGAACTAAAATTAATTTAAAAATCCCTCTTAAAATCCGTCTTGACACAAGAGGACAAAAAGTTGTTCTCGGGAGTCCTGCGAACTGGTGTAAAAGGTTAAAGCTAGAGTTCCTCTCCAGTAAGTTATTCTTAGTAAATTTGAACTGTTCGTTGCACACATACATATATAGATGTCTTTATATATGATTTCTCCTTGTGAAAAGCATTCTGGCTTCTTAACAGGCATGCTTTCTCATTGTGAAAAGCATTCTGGCTACTTAACAGCATAAATTATACTGATTCTATATGATTCAAACTATAAAATATAAAATTATATCCCATTTTCAACATGTGAATACATGGGTTATGTGGAATTGAAAGATCAAACTGGAAAATCTTCATTCTCATTTATGAGTTATTTTTTTCCCATCCCACAGCCCCATTGGTTTCAGCTGGGCTGAGTAAGGTCTCATATAAGACCACATTCTGGCCTTGTTTTAAAACCACCTTAAGTCTCCAATCTTGCAATCTGGTCTGTGCAAAGACAGTCATGTTATGCCAGTGGGCTGTTTTCTGGTGTGGGAAGACATTTTATGGATCAAGGCCATAACAGTTAACTACCCAAACAAGAACATGACGAAACTTCACTGTAGCATTTAATCTGATGTTTTTGAGGTTATATTAACTCTTAACTTCAGAGATGTGCAGTGATTTTCCACCAAAAAAGTGTAATATTCTTGAAGTATTCTTACAGCTTTAAGATGACAAACATCACGCAAATGTTAGAGAATGGCAATGTAGTCACTTCTGTTAGTCTGAAGTCTACAGCAGGAAAATAGCAATGCCTGCAGAAAAGGTGATCCTTTCACGACACCCATTCCTCCAGTTGAATTTTTGCATGATTGTTTCCCTGCTGTCTTACACTGACATTTCCAATTTGCTTGTGAGCAATATGGGCATATGTTTTGGTTTGAAAGGACAGGTGTCTGCTAAGGAAGGCAGGAGTGTCTCTTGAAATGGAAAATTTAAACCTTCTCCCTCCAAATTGTTATGACTTTGAAATTAAGGGAGGGGTCTCAGGCAAAGATATGGGAGTAGGAATGGCAGTTCTTTATTAGGAAAAATAAAAATAAAAATGCAGTAACACAAAACAACACTGGCAGAGTCCCATGGGTCAGGGTGCTGGTAGCAGTCCCATTAATGGTGGCTGCTCCTCCTGCAGTGACAGATGTGGTTATGTTGAAGCAGTGGTCCTGTTAGAAGGGTATAGCTCGCCTCTGAAGGTCCAGTGGTGGTGTAGATGGGCCTAGTCTTTCTCTGGGAATCCCATGGAAAAGGCTGCCTGTGGTGTTCTAATCTCAGATTATACCTAGGTAGGAATGCTTGGCTCCTCCCCCTGGGCAGAACATCTCACAATGGTATAATGTAATTATGTCAGTCATGCAGTGAGATGCAATGGCCCGTTAATAGAAGATGTCTCCTCAGAGGGAGGATGGGTCATGGAAGAGACAAAGAAAACTGGGCCACCTGATTTTAACAGGTGGCCCAGTTAACAGAAGATATCTTCCCCAGCTCTAACAGAATGCAATAGAATACACACCCCATGTCACATCTTGCATTTGCAACCTAAAAAAGTTTGAAAGGTCAATCAGTCACCCAAAAGGTTTAACAGACCACTAGACAGAAATGATATTTCTGTTGCAGTGAAACAGAGGTACCTACCTATTTTAGACAGCTTTGTAGTGCCCATCTGCTTTCACTGCTATCTATTTTAATACTAATAGTGATCAGAAATATGAGTACTCTCAAGAGGGTATTTTTCATAAACTTTCACTGGACTCTGACTGGCACATTCACATCTCTGCAGCACTTCAATGTGTTCTCTTCATATAGATATATCAGTACTTAACTCCTTTAGTGAATGGCATACAGATAGATGGATGCGCCCACATGAACCATCAGTGTGCAGCCAGGTGTACATTACAAGTAGAAAAAACTGGGGCTTGACATGAATAAAAGTGTCCTATCATCTTGTATATTATTTGATCTTTAATGACTTTATCTGACCATTGGTTTTTTATGACATGAACACCACTGTAAGGTTTCTTGTTTACCGTTAAGCCCATATAATGAAGTTCCAATGCATTCATAGTTTCAATTTTTAAATATATCTTTCCTGAATAAAAGAAAAAATGGTGAAGGACCCAGAAGAAAAACTTTGCCTTTGGGCTTCAGAGTCTCTTGACTTGTAAAATAACACTGGTGGGCTACATGTCTACAGCTTCTCATCTGTGTTAGAACAAGACTCGAACATCTCAAATCTATGAAGAATTGAATTCTTTCTGTATCTCCTTAGCTCATGAAAAGTCATATTTCTGCCCAGAAAGGTGCAAGTGTTGAATAAAATTTTATTTCAGACAGTTTGAATCCAATCCATCACCTGATTTTGGATTGCCATTTTGATAATTATCAGGAGCCGCATAATGACTAGAAGGGCATCCCAGTAGGATTTATCCTTGCTGGAGAGGAGAGCTGCAGAAGTTAATCAAAACAGGTACAGCCCTTCTTACATGTTACTTCTTCTGCTCATCTCCCGTTCAGCGTCTTTCTAATCTGTGCAAGTTCAGTACAGTATTCCTTATCTGTGCACTCACAATGATCTGAATACAGCTGTCAGCATCTTGATCAAGGCACAGCTCTAATTAGATTTTTCTGTTGTAATTGAAGGAAACATACTTCGAAAGTTGCTCCATGCCATAATTCAACTACCAACAGTATGTGATTTTGATGAAATTTCTGTTATGTTTAAAAAAGGATATATTTCTAGTTCAAGCTTTCACTTAGGAAAGACTTTTGGAGCAAAGGTGAAGACCAAAAGGCTTAGCCCAAAATGTAACGGCATGAAAGTAAAGGAGAGAAAAATTTAAATACTTAAATATAGGAGCTTAAAATGGAAATTTGTGCTCCTTTTCAGCCATGGTTATTTTCTGTTCTAATCTACCTGTCTCTGTGAAACAGACAAAGGCAGATGTGTTATCAGTTTAAACTTGTTTTTGCAGCCAGACAAGAGGATATATTTAAGAAAATAATTACTGTATTAACAACAACAACAACAACAACAAAACAACAACAACAACAAAAAAACAACAACAACAACAACAACAACAACAACAACAATAATAATAATCATCATCATCATCAAAATTAATACCGAGTACCAAAAATATGCAAAACAAATAGGGGTCATGATCAGGAACACTGAAATGTTAATATTCAATTAACAATAACAGAAGTGATGTGGGACAAAGTATGCAAATGATGAGTGTCTCAGGCCAAGTGTTCTCAATAGGAAAGTCATTAAGTAATTTGTTAAAACTGCCCACATGACTGTTTTTTCAGCTCATGAGAAAATCCATGTTAAAAATGTTTGCTGTTCTACCAGCAAAACCAAACATGTTTCATAATGCAAGCATTAAGAGGATGTATAACCTACACAGTATTCACAGCTAGGAAAATGATAAGGAGAGATGCTTGAGGAGAAAAAACTTGCTAACCAGAGGTTTTTACATGTGCCTCAGCACCCATGTCACATATGCTGATTTCTCAAGCAAACCTGTTGCCAACAGAAATTTTTTCTTGAACTGTAAAATTCATAGGATGTACTTGGCTTACATCAAGAACACAGCATTTATTCCCCACACAAACAGCTCTGTCTAGCTTAGCTGGATATAAACAGAAAGACTGCTTCACTCATTATTTATCAAAGATAGCTGCATTCTGAAGATTCATAGGAACTGGAAATTGGTCTACTTCTGATTTTTACTGTTCTTTTGATTTTCAGGGCTGTCAGACTACTGAAAATCATCTAGACCTTCATCTACACAAAGGTAATCCACAAGTGACTTTTCCCCCCTGGGAGTACTGATACTGCTTATTTAGTAATAATAATCATAAAATATTGATATAAAGCACAATCTTTACTTGTACAAAGAATTTGTCTTCCAACCTGTCCAACCGGCTTTTGAGCCTACTTGTATGAGTAAAGAGTACACCATAGCCTAATGGCATAAACCTTGCTGCAGATGTTTGAAGAATATTCTGTAAGAAGAATATTCTTACATATCTGGAATTGCATTACACTTATGTGTCCTGGCAAACAGTGGCTTTTTCAAAACAAAATTATTACTTTTATGAGTCAAGTAGAACTTATTCATAAGTGTTTTAGGATTCAAGTAAACTGATTTTTACATTATACACCTCCTTCTTTCCCCTTTTTTACCCACTGGTGGACCAAGCAGTTGAAATACTGAAACAAGCCTAGCAAGGAGAGTAAGAGGAAAAATATTTTCCTGGTGCTTTGCATGCTGTCATCCACATCGTCTCACTTGTTCATGAAATGCAGCCACAATAGGGAATATATGAAATAAGTTTCCAGCATTTTAAAGCAAAGCTTCAGTGGAAGGGGGTGAGAGAGGAAAGAATAGTGCAGCCAGTGGAAAAATAACTATCATTTTGGACAGGAAGAATACTGTGGATCTGCAGCCATCTAGGACTGTAAACCAAATCTTACCTATTTTAAGAACATTTAAAGGATTTGTGGGACTGGGTCTCAGTTTAGTCTCTGAGATTAACATTCCACTTGTGCAAAGTACCATGGAATTTTAATGAATAAAAGTAGCCACAGTTTCTGCTCTCTTCCTGAGACCTGTGTATTTGCTAATTTAGACACACATTTCACATGTGACTTCAGTGGTGCATACTGAGGCTGAGAAAAGTGGCATCTGTGAATCTTATATAGTCCTAGGTACACACATAAATGTTTCCCCACCTTAGATAATGAGATATTAAAGTACTACAATGAACACAAAGATCTAAGAGGCCAGTCCACTTTGATGTTTTGAGGGGTTTCTGAATTTAAAATAATGAAAAAAAATCAAGATATTATTTAAATTTCTGTTCTAAATGCATTACTATTTTTCCTTAGGAAATGAGTCTCTAGGACTCATTATTATCTTTGCACTTGTTTCAGGCCCTTTATGCTGGGTCGTCAAGGGGAGTTGGATATTTAATTCATTTTGGTAAAATCAAACAGACCTTTTTCAAGGTCTCTGTCTTAGCTAGTTCTTTTCTTTATTGCAGGTTTTCTGAATTATTTTTCCCTTTAAAATTTTCATTTAGAGTTGCAGGGACCCATCAGCACCAAAAAATGAGAGGAGCTGGGTAAGGAACTTTTTGGTCTCATAATGACCATCCAAAAACCTTATTCTAGCCTGAGAATCAAGATGCTTGACCCAAATCTAAAATTTTCTGTAAATCATTTATGTGCCTTTAAGAAAACTGTTCAAAAAAGTTGTTTTTAGCCTTGAGATAAGGCATTGTGAGAAGTGTAGCAGATGCTTTGGGACAAAGTTTCAAGCCTTTTATTGACTTTTGCTTTGGACATAAATTAGGTAGCTGTCTGTATAAAATCTGGTTACACAGTCCTGAAAATCTGGCTGTATTCTTTTTGTTAATCAAAACTATACAATATGGTATTTTTTATTTCAGTAGCATGAAATATTTTGGATATTAGCTGCTTCTTAAAATGACTATAAATTTCAACAAATACCAAGAAAGACAACAGCTTCAAACAAAAGTGGAAACACCTCACCACAGCACCCAAATCTTTCCAGAGCATTTCACCCAACATTTCTGGAGTTTACTGCACTCTCTAGTGCAATTTCTGTAGCTATAAAAATCTGCTAATTGTCACTTAATGTCACAAGTTAGAGTAAATGCTTACATGCTGAATTTTAATATTTGTGTTTTTGTTGTAATTTAAAAATAATGTAAAAAAAATGTTATAACCTGCTGGAGCACAGTCAAGTTTTAGTAAAATCTGGCTAGATGACATATTCTCTTCATATGGGTGGGCGCACCCATCACTGGAACCAGCTGCTGGGTCTTGAACAGGAAAAGAAGAAGCTGGTAAGAGGCAGATCCTGTATAGAGGGGGTATAGTGATTTTTCTTATGCCAATCTCCTCCTTTACGTAATGGGTCAGGTGTGAAAACTCCACTCTGGGAGAGCACAGGAAGTTCAAATTAGCCTGAAGGTATCCATGCCTTTTGATGGACCATAGTTGACTCAATTATGCTGATAAGAGAGGCATCTGTAATGTCTTAAACAATTGAAGACTCCTGAAGTGTTCTATAATCCACAGCATTGCATCATTCAGGGTGAAACTTCCCACCCTGAGGAGGTACCCAGGCATTCCCACCTGGGATATAAAAGTGAATATAAACACAGTGGATTCCGATGTTTTGTAGGCTTTCTCCATTCCTGACAGATCAAGCCAGTGACGATCACTTCAACCAACATACATCAAAATTGCAACAACAAAGTCTCCTTTCAGCATTCAACAGGTAGTAACTCTATACCTTTCTAGTTTCCTTTTTCCTATTTTTCCTATTTCTACTTCACATTTATTTTTAAATAAAAATCCATTCTATTGACTTTGGCATATGGTCTTGTTTGCAATAACCAGATCTTAACACTATATAATTACCTTTTAAGTCAATTACTCTGTTGTTTCTCCTTATGACTCTATTCTCCTCAAATTATATCAGCTGAGTTTTTCATTATTATTTTCCAAATAAGAAAAAAGCCAAATGAAAAAACAAGAGCAAAGTTCACAGGCAAAGATTCTAGTCTTCTGCAGAGTTCTCTGTATGTGAGCATATTCAAGATAGCATACTTATTGATGTAGGGGTTGCTACTTTTTATGATGCCTAGTTAGTAAAGTCAGTAGCAGTAAAGCCTTGGACTTGGTAGAAAGAAGTCAGTTGCGCATTTGAAACCTTAATTTTGTGGCTATAAACAACCACATCACATTCCAGCAAAAACAATGGGGTTGTTTTCAGCACTGCTCTACCAAGGAGGTATGTATTTTATTTTATTCTTGTATATACAATTAAAATAATGCCAATCACAGAATTCTGCCCTGCATTCACTTCTGAAACAGACCATGGGGGATGCCACTTAAAAGTGAAAGTCCTGCCCTTCCTTGGGCCAAATAATGAAAGAAAAGGCTAGCAGTGCAGCAGACTTCTCATTAAAACTCATCAGACTTCTATTAAAATTTTGAATTTATTGACTAATTACTAAAGCTTGCCCCAGTGTGCAATTAAAAAAAAAGATGTCACAAGCAGTCTTTTTTCCTTCTGTGTGGAAATGATGGAAGTATTACCTTTGTCCTAGTTTTGGCCAGAACCTGGAGGTTATTCTATACCACCTCACAGAGTTGCTGGGGCCAGGGTGAAGTGACTCTCTGGCTTCCAAGAAGGGCATAGTTTCTGATTGAAAAGAAGTGGTGGCATTGTCTGCCATTGTTCATTTCCTAGGAGCCCTTGGTGAGAATTTTTGGAAGTGAATCACCCTTTCTTTTACATACTTTTGTTGTTAATATTGTTGTTACTGTCCATTTTCTTATCTCAGTGCTGTTTGCAATAAACTCAATCAGTGATCTTCACCTTTTGTGCATCCAACTCTCAACTCCATCCTGCTGGAGCAGGAGTGATCTAGTGACATATGGTTTGGGAGAGTCTTGATGAGGATGCTGAATTAGGGAGTACCATTCCTAAACCATGACAACCTTTCATCAGGCAAGTAGTAAGGAATTGCATACATGGAGTACAGGCAGGTTCTCTTCTTGCTGTAGAGGATTTCCACCAGTGCCTGTGTTCTTGTTGAGTAATAATGAGATACCATAATGAAACAGTAGAAGATGCATGTCAGATGGTTCTCCAATAACATTAGGAAAAAAAGCAGCTGATGTATGGGATATTGAAGGCAGATTAAGTTGTTAATGCATATTAGTATATTCTTAATTTCCTTTTAATTGAAAAAGACATATTGACTTTAATTAAAACCATTTCACAGGAACTGTCAATTAGCACATGTCAAACTAGTTAATTCAGAACAGAATTATTTTAATTAGGGTCTGCTTTCCTTTAACTGTGGGGCCAATGAAATCAGCTTTTCCTTATCAAGAATTTAAATGTCTCAAAGAAATACAATACAAATCTCTAAAAACCCTTATCTATTATTAGAAGCCCATATGGATAACATTAAAATGATGGTGCTGGCATTGTTCATGCCACAGACATCAGAGTTTCCTTTATGACTGTTTAAAAAAAAAAAGAAAAAGATGGCTTTGAAGAAAGACTATTTTAGATACACAGATTTATCCTACATTAAAGAGATTACAAAATTTATGACATGGATACTCACATTTAAATTATTTAATATGTCTGCTTAAATAAATGGGCCTACTCAAACCTCTTGTATGTTCTGTGAGCCAAAGACATATAAAACATTTTCAAAGCATTCAGCATGCAGTTCTTCCCTTAAATGAACTATAATAAAAAGGAGAAAAGAGACTAGATTTTTTATTTTTTGGACAACAGCATCATTGTTAACTTTCATTGCATATGATTTAACAGTGATTGCTAATCCAGTGGCTGTGAACATCAGTGTGCTAATGTCATCTCAGTTACCAAATAGTATATAGTCCGTGTCTTGACTTTCAGATACTTTCTGTATATATCTCTAGCTTGCTGATGGGTCTCCACATCTTGGCTGATGTACTGATGAAAGGACCTTCTCCATGGTTTCTGAGAATCTCCATGTGTGACATCTGTAATGCTGGTCACATCCCTTCAGGAGTAAGAACAGCTGAGAAAAATATAACAAATCATAAAAGGAATAAGTGCAAAACTTAGACTTAGTCTAATCATACAGGGTTTAGCCACTGTTTTAGTGACCTCTGTCAACATAGGATTACAGAGATTTGTGAAAGGAATACTTAATAACTGAACTGTGGATTCTAAAGAGGATTATCTGTTAAGATATTTCATGTATCCTGATGGTTTGTTGAATATATTAGGAAGCTGATTATGGGCCTAACTCAACAGTAAAAGAAGAATCATTCTTCCAAAATTAAGTATAACTGGTGTGCATTAAAATTTAATGTGTCCTAGAACTATACTTTGCCTAGGATCCTTACCCATACCAATTTTCCCCCCAGGGCAAATCTCTGGTAAGGGGTGGGTGTAGAGCTGTAGGAGCGTCATGTGTTAAAATCTGTGTTGAGGATTCTACAAAACCTTGAAAAATGGATGAACTTTTACTTAGATGATTTGCAAAACCAAAATACTGTGCCCCAGGAGTCCTTCATCTCAAGCAAGAGGCTGTGTAGAGATGTTACATCACTGCCTAGTCTCCTGTGTAAAGTGTGCCCTGAGTATAACTAACAACTGTAGTTCTACTTTTAAATGTGACTGTAGATTGGTAACATAACACCCTAATATTTATTCATTAATTCCATTGTGGTCCACATTAAATTTGTGCTCTTCAAGTTAAATGCTTACCATAATTTAGAACCCATTCAGCTGATCTAAGTCACTTTGACACTGAATTGTGTATTTCAACTTCTTTTATAACACAGCAGAAACAGTGTTTTGCATTTGGATCATCTTTGGTTCATTTGGTTCAAAATGGCAATTAGCAATAACTTTACTTTTAAAATCACTTCTACATCGGCTGTGCATGGGAAGTAGGGTTATGTTCACCAGAAGGGTTGTAAAACTGTGGGTGACTGCCTTTATTGCTCTGTTATACTGAACTTCAAACTGTAAAAATATTTGAACATTTTAAATAGTAAGAAATTCTAAGATTATGGTGAAATTATTGATGTAGCTCATACATCATGGCAGGAACAATGGTGAAACAATTTTATGAAGGGAAAATAATATACCGAACCCTCACACAAAGCTAGCTACAAAAGGAATTAAAAGCAGAAGATCCTCACTGTAAATATACCAAAGCCTATTATGTGCCATGCTGTCAAAGTAGTGCAAAGTATTCTTTTTTTTTTGGCAATTAATACTAAGGTGATTCATTTCTTAGCAGCAGCCCTAATATTTACACCCCTATGGATCTCATGACTTAGTAGCAAGCTTTGACTTCAATTAAACCTGTCAGTTTCTGATAGCAAAAAATCATTACAGAACTTCAAAAGCACTTGAATTGCAGCAAGATCTTTACGATTATCTGTATCTTTCTGCCTTTGTTGGCTCCTTGATCTTCTGTGGCAGCCCCAGCCTCTCTGTCAACTTTGTTCTGTAAGAAGTTGAACCTTAAAGCTATTAAATATATATATATATAAATATATAAAAAAAAAATATATATATATATGAAAATGCTTCAGTATACAATAGATTTCACCCAGTCTGACATTCTTTTTGGGATAAATGATTAAAAAAAATTGCCCATGTGAGTCATATACTGTTCATGTATTGTTCATGAATCAAATGAAGATCCATTTAAAAATTACAAACATTACAGAAATTTAATAGCTTTTAAACAGATTATTTAATTTACTGTAGTTCTGATTTCCAATCATTTTATGCAAACAGCTATGGCAGAACTATTCCAGAAAAGGGAGTAACTTTCTGATTGAACTAATTTCTTGATGGATTTAAGAAATATTTTAGAAGTGAGAATTTCTCAATTATGTATTTGTCCTTCAGAGCACGACCAAAGAGGGCATAAAAATGCAATCCTACAACCCCAGAAGAAAGCACAAAGAGTTTGGAGGATTCATTCCATTCCTACAATCACAGTGAATAAAGCCTTATACGCATGCAGAGTAGAAAAGATGATTTGTTCTGACTAGTGTATAGATCACTTCCTCAGGAGCCTCTGGTCCCTACAACTTGCCTTGCCTGGCACTTCCTTCTATTCCAAGGAGGACTTCGATTCATGACAGCTGGGCTCATGTTAAACCATGATAGCAACTGGTTAGCAGCACCCAAAAATGGAGCCCCCACCCATTCAACTGTGAGAGTTTCTTGCTCAGTCTTCTAGGCTGATGTCTTTTTTTTGCTATTGTTTTGAAGCACAAGCCAGATTCTTTTCAAAAATCACTGTCTTTTGGACATCTGTGTCTTCTCTTGACTATTTTTGCAGAAATCAATCTTTGTGTTTATCAATAAAAACGGCATGGTCAAAAAATAATGCTAAGGCACCCAATGCATACCTAATTATTTACAATGTTGTTTATTAGTTGTAAACAAAATGAGGCTTTCTCATAATTTTGAACAAGGGACCTATGGACCACCAGCAGTTCACTGATCATAGATGAGGAGCCTCTGGCTTTGCTCCCACTGTGTCTGTGAGCATATTCTTTTGTCATATTGCCTCACACTGCAGCAATATTACCTAATACTTTATTAAACAATTCTACAAGCGTAACTAAAGCATTTGAGTTCTTAACATATATTTAAGAAGGTTTAGAGTCCGCATATTGTATTTTTCAGTGAATTCATAAAATTATGCCAACATGAGCACATCTAATGATGAA